GCTAATGTTGCATAAGGTACAGGTCTCTTTGGACGAAAAGCAGGCTTAGCCCCATGTTTCAACCGAAGTGTTGCTTTCATAGCAGTGCACCGACCTAATCCAGGTTCAAAAATGGTTGAAAACTCTGCCATCAGCTTCTTCGTATACGCTTCTGGGTCATGTGGTTGTGATACCAGGTTGCATATGGTATTTAACGGGACATCAGCCAATTTTAGCTGGTCGAACCAATCTAAACCAAGTAAATTTAGATCAGCTGGCGTTATATAGCATACCCCAGTAAACGAAGAATCTCGGAAAGCAACTTTACATTCCAACTGTCCTAACAGACGAAGATAATTACCACAGGCTTTGTAAGCGTAGAAAGTATATTCTACAAACACCCAGCAATCACAGTACAATCAAGCATACAACTCTCGTTTATTTATACAACATAAGAACGTCCTTGAGACAGTTAAGAAAATAGCATACTAAAATACACAGCAGCCAATCACAGCCATGGATTTACCTGGTTGGAATTGAAATCTCAAGGTCATATGATCAGCCCATGCTGGCAAACGTGAAAACCAAAATACAGCATTATCAAGCGAATTTTGGGGATCTAACATCCCCAACAAATAGCGCGGTAGTATTCATTCATTGTTTCCCCCTCTGGGGTTACGGCCGGTCCTAAGCCCGGATAAAGGAGGAGGGTTGGACATGCGGTTGAATGCCCTATTCCAGGAACCACTAACTCGCTGAAAAACGCTAACAAGAAAAATCAATTCAAACCATTTTAACTCTGCCCTGGAAGTAAGGTCTTCTTTCAGAAGAGTTATGATATCTCACGATGAAAGACAAGTCTCTTCGTGTTACGCCTGCACTTAAACACGTAATTTTGATATACTTGAACTATTACGAGTTACCTAGTCGGAAAACGACAGCGAGGATCCGGTGACACGACATGCTACTCAAATCCGATTATCCCAACCCCCATATTGAGTGAAAATAAGAAGATTTGAATGTGGAGTAGAAACTGTATTCTACAAGCATCCAGAAAGTACGAGGTCCGAGTCCAGAAGAGAATCAGGATCCCGGACTAGGGATCCGGGTCATGAAACGCTACAGATAATGCGTATTTATATATTTTGGTCAAATAGGAAACAGCATCGAATTGTGTGACATTGACAGTTAAGACGACCAATAGGAAGCAACATTTGAAGTGACAATGATAGTCAGGACAACCAATAAGAAACAAGATTGGAGCACAGGACATTGATATCTAGGACGACCATAAAACTGACCAGTAGTAATTAACCAATAGGAACAGACCAATCATTCTCTTAGGATATTGGGTGAATATCCTATTCTGTCGTCGACAGATACTCATCAAAAGATTTGACCATTCTGATGGGAGACGTAAATGATAAGGTTGCAATGGACAACACTGGATGCCAACACATCATGTGACGATATGGACTGGGATAAAAGAACGACAATGTTGAGAGATATGCAAACCTATGTGCCTTCAACAAACTGGTCATCGGCGGCACCATATTGCCACACTAACTCATATAGAAAGCTATATGGATTTCACCGGATCACGCCAAGCAGAACCAAATCGACCATATCTACATCAATAAAAAGTTAGGCAGGACCCTGGAGGACGTGAGAACCAGGAGAGGAGCTGATGTCAGTCAATCAGTAACAACGTAGAACTTCGTTCATCAGTTTAGGTTGCCATGCCACATTAGCACAAGGAGCAATTGTCAGTTCGAATCTCATAGTAGCAAAGGAAGTATAAGTATTAGCAGTATTCGGAGGGATTAGGGTTCGACGATATTATTCAAGAAGTAGGATCTAGTGAAATAAAATTAAAAAAGTGATGAGGAATTCAGAAGGTTAGGATTTGACAGAACATAGAGAATGAATGCACCTGCGCCACTGCAAACGGTTTTGAGCCACGTCATTCAAGATCTCTATCCATCGATTACCATCATCTTGCGGGCCTCAACCGGGCAATCAATACCTACTAACAAGGTTTAGTTCAGTTTTGGTTTGGCTGCCCCTAGGTTTCTTCGAACCTGTAGCCCCTCCGCAGCTTCTTCCGGGTCCACGCCTGGATAAAGGAGGTGGGTTAGGCTTGGGGTACATACCCGATGCCGTAGAATCCAACTCGCTAAAAAAATGCTAACGAGAAAATAAATCAGCTTGAAACTAAAGAAGAAATTGAAAGATACATAGGAGGTGGATAGAATACAAATTGCGGAAATCACCATATTGCGTGACAAAACAAGCCCATACATAGGATCCTTAAACCCAAAGGAAGAGAGGAGGATCAAAGAATCAGAGGTAGGCATCAAAAGAACGGATAGCACTTGAGAACAACCAGAAAGGAGAGCCCAGGATAAAGTAGAATGAAGGTTGCTGGTCGGTACCCAATGAGGCGTAATAGATGAAGATCAGATGGATAATAAACAATTAGATTATCGAATAACATGTAGGTGTAAATGGTCTTTTTTGCTTGAAAAGAGAAAGGTTCACAATGAAAATATATAAGCAGGTAAAGCCTCAGACTATCACTTCCTGCTCCCCAAAATGAAACTGAAACTAAACAAACATTGGATAACGAGGTGAACAGCATCACAGAAGTTCAATACGGCGTTTCTTCGGGACACTGAAAAACTGAACGAATTCAGGACAACACTCAACAATAGGTTCTAGGCATTTCACGATCTGCTCAATGGAGAGGAAACGACTATAGGAAATAACTGCAAAGCTATCAAGGAAGCAATCACTTCAAAATGTCAGGAGCCTCTGGGACAAAAGAAGCACCATCAAAAACAATGAATCTCTGTTGGTACTCATGAAAAAATTCAAGAAAAGAGGAGTAAGAAGGCTGCAATCAACATCAGTCAAACAAGAGCAGAGAAGGCAAAGACACAAACTGAGTGAATAGACACAAGCAAACAGGCAAGTCAAGAAGTGCATCAGGGCCGACAAACCGAAATATGTGGAAGATCTAGCAATGACGGTGGAAAAGGCTACAAAAGAAGGAAACATGAGACAGTTGCACGAAACAACAAAGATGCTCGCTGGAAACTGTCGTAAATCAGAACGAGCAGTGGAAAGCAAGTAAAGCAAAATAATCAACAACACTGAAGAAGAGCAAAACAGATGGGTAGAGCACTTTAAGAAACTCTTGAATCGACCAGCTCCACTGAGCCCATCCAACATTGAAGCAGCATCCAGGGTCCTCCCAATCAATGTTGGTCTACCAACGATTGAAGAGATCACCATGGTCATCAGATAAAGCAAGAGAGGCAAAGCAGCAAGACCAGACAACATTCCAGCAGAGGCAATGAAAACAGATGTGGCAGCAACCGCAAAAACATTTCACACTCTCTTCAACACGATTTGGGTTGAAGAATAAGTAGCAACAGACTGGAAAGTAAGATACCTCATCAGAATATCAAAAACAGGCGATTTCAGCAAGTGTGAGAACTACAGAGGTATCACTCTTTTCTCAATACCAGGCAAAGTCTTCAACAGGATGTTGCTGAACAGAATGAAGGACTTCGCAGACCCCAAACTTCGAGATCAACAGGCTGTACTTCGTAAGGAACGATTGTGTACTGACCAAATTGCAACATTACGGATCATTGTGGAACAATCATCTGAATGGAACTCACCACTCTACATCAACTTCATCGAATACTGCAAAGCATTTGATAGTGTGGTCAAGAAAACACTATGGAAGCTTCTTCGACACTACGGAGTGCTTGAGAAGATAGTCAACATCATACGGAATTTTTATGATAGATTCAACTGCAGAATCATGCACAGAGGACAGCTGACACAACTCGTTCGAGGTGAAGACCGGTGTCAGGCAAGGTTGTTTATTCTCACCCTTTCTCTTTTTCCAGCCGATCGACTGGATTATGAAGACGTCAACATCTGGATAAAAAGACGGTATCAAATGGACAACTAGAGTGCAGTTGGACGAGTTGGACTTCGCAGGTGATCTGGCTTTTCTACCACACACACGACAACAAGTGCAAGATAAGACGACCAGGGTAGCAGCAGCCTCGGCAGCAGTAGGTCTCAACATACATAAAGGGGTAAGCAAATTTCTGCGATACAGCACCACGCGCGCCAAATAAATCACTTTTGATGGACATGCCTTGGAGGACGTAAACATCTTTACATATCTGAGCATTATCATCGACAATCAAGGTGGATCCGATGCAGATGTAAAGGCACGGATCGGCAAAGCAAGGGCTACAATTCTACAACTGAAGAACGTCTTGCACTCAAAACAACTGTCAACAAACACCAAAATCAGAATTTCCAATACAAGTATCAAGACAGATCCACTTTATGGGGTGGAAACTTGGAGAACCACGACAGCCATCATCCAGAAGATTCAAGTGTTCATTAACAGTTGTCTTCAAAAAATACTTCAGATCCTTCGGTCAGACACCATCAGCAACCATCTACTGTGGGAGAGAACAAACCAGATTCATGAGAAGGATGAAATCAAGAAGAAGCGGTGGAAGTGGGATAGATCACGCATTGCGGAAAGCACCCAACTGCGTCACAAGACAAGCCCTGAATGTCAAAGGAAAAGAGGAAGACCGAAAAACTCATTACGCCGAGAAATAGAGAAAGATATGAGAAGAATGAACGAAAATTCGAAAGAACTGTAAAGGTAAGCCTAAGAAAGAGTAGGCTGGGGAACACTGGTCGGCGGCCTATGCCCCATCGGGGCTGACAGGCGTAAGTAAGTAACTAATACATCGCCTGATTGGTGGCTTGATGAAATCAGATGATATTCCCCCTAAATGTCTTATATTAATTGGACGCTCAACTACCAAACTCTTCTCACTTGCATTATATAGATTTGTTCAAGATCGTCATCTTCAGTGATGTCTGGTTTAAGTGACTGATTTTTAGAGAGTAGTGAAGTAAACGTAAAAAAAAAACATAGTAATAATAATGAACTAGATTATTTTTTTAAAATATTTGTACATGATAAAATATTCATTTATATGCAAAGTAAAATATGAATATATATTATCATCAATCGAACCGTCATGATGAAAAAGGAATAGACGTTGAGAATGTTAAGCAGGAAATTAACTAACAAGAAGAAATTAGACTGTTATATTTTGAAAATATCATAAACTGTTTGATTCAGTTTATTCTTTGCCTGTTGTTATTCGCTATTCACGTAAAAATGTTGTGTCTATGCACTGTGTGTGTGTGTTGGTGTGTAAGAATGCACAGTGGTGGTATAGTTGTAAATTTGAATTAATGCTGATATTTTGTTCATTATTATTCTATGATCTTTCAAATGAAAACAAATAGAATAAATAGAATAAAATATTACTTAATTAGTGTAAGTAACCATAATCAAAATGATACATAATAATCATTATTTGTAATCAATGTAGAATCCGATTCATCGGTTCAACATTACGCACAACATCAATATAATGAGATGAAATTTTTAAGACAAATGTCAAGATAGTAGAAACAGCATAAGTTACAGTAAAGAATGAAAACATTGGGGTATACAGAATGCATATTAAGTATACGATAATTAAAAAAAACTCAAGAGTTAAGAAAGGATGTGTGAATACATTTGAATCATGGCTATTATTAGTTCTAAGGTTATGCCATTTAACATCTCCAACTAATGGTTATGATAATTGAGTAGATGATCCAAAATCACGTCTAATCTGTGCTTATTGAAGAAGGTTGGTCCAAGAATAAATAATTTTCATGAAATGATCCTACGTTTTTGGTTTGTTTTGTTTTTTTCATTTCTATCAAAAAATAAATCACATAGATATTGATTAAACTCAATAATAAAAGCATCATCTTGATTATGGTGATGATAATTTTATCGAGATCAAGTAATGATTTATATGCACAAAGTTTTAAATTATGTTTCTGAATATAGTGTCTGACATTGAAAGGTGTACCAAAGAAGTACATTAACCTTATACAAGCTCTCTACTCGAACACCACTGGTCGAGTGAGAGCTTATGGCGAACTGTCATCGGAATTCTTTACTTCAAGTGGTGTCCGTCAGGGATGTCCACTTTCTCCATTCTTGTTCAATTTTATCACAGACATCCTCCGACATGCGTCCTACTGTACGGATGCGAGACTTGGCCGTTAAGAGTAGAGGACATTTGTAGGTTACTAGTCTTCGATCATCGATGTCTCCGAAGCATTGCTCGTGTATTATGGGACAACCGTATAAGCAATGCTGTTGTTAGGAAACGAGTTCTAGGTAGGGACGGCAAATCAATAGATGAAGTACTGAAACCTCATCAGTTGAGGTGGTTGGGACTTGTGTTACGTATGGCTAACCACCGACTGCCTCGACAAGCTATATTTTGCAGTGTAGGAGTAGATTGGAAGAAAGTTAGGGGCGGCCAAACCAAAACATGTCACAAATCCATGAAGTCACTAACAAGTGGACTGAGTCATGTTGGTAGATGTAGGCTATCTGGTTGGGTTTCGCGAGACGATAGTCATCGATGGTTAGAGACCTCGAATGACATGGCTCAGAATCCTTTGCAATGACGTAGGTGCATCCAATCTTTTTGTCCTCTCAAACTCTAAGCTTCTGCATTCCTCATAATCTTTACCTTTCTCCTTCTAAATTTATCTTACTGAATTATACTTGTCGAATCATATCATATCTTCGAACCCTAATCTTCTCCATTACTGCTAATACTTCTATTATTGCTATCAGTCTTGGATTTGAACTGACAGTTGCGTCTTTGTGCTGATGGGGCATGGCAACCTGAACTGATAGTAAGCTTAGTTGACAATTTGAACCGATAACTTACTGATAGAATTTTCGAATGCGTTTATAGTCATTGAATGTACATTACTACTATTCTACACATTATAAGTCATCATAGGTTGACTTGATGTTTTCTGAATATATATAAACTCGTACTACATTATTTATATCATTCGTTCGAACTAAATGGTGAGACATATTTGCTTTCGAATAGGCAATGTGAGCAGATGAACTGATGTCTTTTTGATTACAAATTTAGTATTAATGAATTGTAGTTAATAATGGAAGTCAAAATGTAAAATTTATCAGATGGATAAACTTGAATTTCAATGTTGATGATACTCAACAATGCAACTAGAATCCAGTTTAAATCTCGCTTTGGAAACTAGCACAAAGGCAGAAAATTAATTCAAGCCACTTTTGTAGCATTGTATCAACAACATAGATTAGCAAGAAAATTAGAAATCACTAAATTCGAAAATATTGAAAAGAAATAATCATTTAAACCGTGAAATTCTTAATATTAGAGCAGACCAGTCTTGAATTTAATTGCTTGATAAATTAACTTCATACAATAGTTAATTAACATTCGTAAAACCATTTGACAATCAATGAACAACAGTTAGTGATCAAGAATAGGTCCATATGCCACTTTTTTCCGACAGAATACTAGAGCTCATGTGTTTCATTGGTGTGAAATCAGGATTTTCCAATTCTGCTTAATGGATCCTTTGTAGTCACATACTCGGTTTCAGTGTCAGACATTCGCTTTTCATCCGTCCAATTATTTAAATAGCACGCCATCCAAGAGAAGACAGTGAAATGGATTTCCCTAATAGTATTTATAAATGCGTGACCATATCAAAGCATTTAGAGAGAGGACTATCCCTACCCTCGGTCGTACTAGAGCACTTAGGAGCGATATTAAGACTCACCACCAATTGAAAATGTCAGCTATTCAGCTGTTACACTATAAAGATACATGATAAACTTTAGAGAAAAGGCAAAAGACTGACCATATTTTTCTCCTTACTACACTTCTATGCATTTGCACAGCTGTGTACAGTAGTACATAAATGTCAGATTTAATTATTTCGCAGTTACCAGCAACAAAAAAGTAGAAGAGAAATTTTCAAGTGGTATTAAACACTTAACTAAGAACAAAAACAGGAACCAAATATGAAAAACAAGTAACAAAAATACTTACCACTGGTGAAATAAATTGATTTATTGGAACAGCATATTCAACTGAATTTTCTGCTATGATATTCGGATCGGATGAAAATGTGCTTGATTCATTAAGAATTATTTCTAGGGAAGAGGATGATGACAAGGAGGAGTAAGAATACAGTTCCGATGGATGGTTAATACTCATCAACATTCTAGACCGACCTAAATAGGTAGAAAATATATATATGTATAATTAAAGGTTATTGCTTTAGCGACAAGAAATAACAGTAGAAAGCTTGTTGAAGGAGTCAGTAGGTCTTGTACAAGTTGATCTGCTGTTGAGATTATTTAGGAATGTGAAGCTAAACGTACAGCGTTCCTATGTGCTTGTGTTCAGAGGTATATCAGCTGATATAATTGAGAGGGATATTAACATTTTAAAAAATATATAGATGTAGTTCATTCTGTAAGTCAAAGTGAATAGTGGTATATTTCTCCATTTCATCATTTTCTCTTTTCATTTGCTGTTTTCGGAAATTCAAAGGAATACATAAAAGTGCAGGGAATGCACTTGTTCCTTCGGATTACAAAAGAATCTTAGGTGATATATATATATATATATATATATATATATAAACCAGTTAATGCTGAAATTCGAAAATACTGTTATGATACAGAACAGAGTGACCTGGAATAAGTGTTAAAACAGTTTAATACAACTCATTAATGATCAAGAACAGGTTGGGGTACACAGATATGCGATGCACTATTTTTGCTTGTAAGCATGTGATACTACTAGGCTATTTAAACGCGACGTTTAGGTCGAAAACCAGCCTTGTTTTCGACCTGGACGTGGATGTATAGACTATATATTCACTCTTCATTAGGTCCTAGAACATAGACGCACATTTCAGCGTCCCACTATAGTTGCATTCCTTGACCTTCAGGAGTAATTCTACCGTGTTGATCGTGAGGTTCTGTGACAGTGTCTGTCATCAAGAGATGTATCAACGAAATACATAAACCTTATACATGCTCTCTGGTCGAACACCACTGGTCGAGTGAGAGCTTATGGTGAACTGTCATCGGAATTGATTACCTTGAGTAGCGTTCGTCAGGGTTGTCCACTCTCGACATTCTTATTTACCTTTCTTATTGACTTGCTTTTAGAGATGACACTGTCATCATCTGACTTTTCAGGAGCTGAACTTTTACCACGAGACTCGCTTGTCGAGTTACAATTTGCCAACGACATAGTTCTACTTGGTGAAGACAGTGACAAAATGCAGAGTCTTCTAACTACCTCAAGCAACAATGCAAGCGTGTCAGGGTTGCGGTTTTTCCCATCGAAATGCAAAATTTTGCTTCAGGATTGGGTTGGGACAGCTCCTGAACTAGCGGTAGCGAGTGAAGTGGTTGAGCGTGTTGACTGCCTTATTGACCTTGAGAGTCTTATCAGTGCTGATTGTCTGGTGTCTAACGAAATCTTGGTACGGATACTGAAACCTCAGTTGACTCCTGCAACTTGCGTCACCTGTGGCGCAGGCGAGATATCCTTTCGCTAACCAAAGGTCGAGTCTGTTTGTTATGCAGCAGTTCGCTCCGTCCTACTATATGGATGCGAAACATGGCCGGTAAGAGTAGATGACGTTCGTATGTTATTAGTGAAAATAAATGGATGAAGTATTGAAACTTCATCAGTTGAGGTTGTTGGGACATGTGTTACGAATGCCCAAATCCTGACGGTCTCGACGGGCTACGTTTCGTGGTGAAGGATTAGTCTGGAAAAAAGCTAGGGATAGCAAAGCCAAAATCATGGCACATATCCATGACGTCACTGACAAGTGGACTGAGCCATATAAGTAGGTGTAGACTACCTGTTTGGGGTCCTCTAGACAATAGTGATCGATTCTTAGAAACCTTGAACGACATGGCTCAAAATCGTTTCCAATGATTCAGGTGCATTCACTCGTTGTATCCTCTCAAATTCTTATCTTCGGAATACCTCATCACCTTTATCATTCTCTTTTTAAACTTACTCCATCAGATTATACTTTTTAAATGGTATTTGCGATCCTTAATCTTCTTCATTACTGCTAATACTTTTATTACCTCTACTACTATGGAATTCGAATTGACAATTCCATTTCTCTCTGTGCTAATGTGGTATGGCAACCTGAACTGATGTACGTACGTACGAAGTTCTACGTTGTATCTGACCGACTGACTGATTTTAACAGGAATCGAATGAGGGGATATAACCAGCGACTCGATGCTTTATCATAATTGATCACTTCATACACGTCTAAAAATAGATGTGACATTAGTTAATGCAAATACATAATGAATAGATAAGTCAGAAGAACACACACAATCAGATTAAATCGTTACCTGGAAATAAACCGAAAAAGTTTCCTGTAGAACTTGATGGTGTAGTATCGATAGTTTTCATAACCGACGGTATTGGAACTACAGCAGTCCACATCAATATCATAAAAGTCATCAAGAGGAGACTAGTTCCACCGGCTGCTGCTGTAGCAGCTTGTTTAGCAGTTACTTTTTTATTGTTATGTTTATTCAATTCAACATTATTGGAATTCACAAGTAATGGCAAATAAGATTGTTTATTTTGCTTATTCATCAATTTATTAATATAAGATCTCAATTTTCGTAGATGAAATGTAAGATTCCTAGTGTAAAGAGTAGAGAAAGGCGAAAACAAATATAAAAATTACAATCAATAGCCAGTAATAAAATGTTGAAGTGTTGCATTTCCATGTCTATGATAATCTTATTGAACAGATTACCGTAAATGTTACGGCTGATATTACTCATGAGTAGTTCGTCTGTTTCTGTGGTTAATCATAAACTATTCTTTGTTCGGCTGATACACTTTACCGGAATTGATCTTTTTCGTCCTTGTCGGAGCTAGGTCCTCTGTTTTTGCTGAATTTGTCACTCTCAACAAGTCCCTTTTTAACCTAAGCTAACTGTTATTTATAGTAGGATGATTTAGTATTTATTTATAAATATTACAATGAGCCAAGACAGTCTTTTGACTGTAATCAAACATACATTTGTAATTTTAAGCCAACATAACAGTTGGTCTCGAGTACACTCAATGCTTGAGACTCAAAACCCAAGTGATTACATACTTAGATGCAAGACTGAAGCATACACCATTAATAAATCAAAGTGTACAGGCATGGAGAATAAGGTTTAATCTAACACTATGCATTATTAGGGCATTTTTGACAAGTGTCCAAGTATTTCGTTTAAAGCTAATTAATTGTAATTTGTGGACAGTAGTCAGAGGAAAATTAAGAAAAAAACGGTCGTAAAACGAAGCTTGCAACTGAGGCTATGCATTAGTACTATACATCAATTAAATCGTAATTTTACATCGAAAATATATATGTGAACTGGTTCATTTGAAAAAACAGCTCCCCAACTTATACAGGTTTCTGTTCCTTGCCCCTTTCACTTGAAATCAATACAGTCAATCACCAATTAGTTTAACGTACAGTTTAAAAGAATCATTCTCTCCTATCATAATATTTAAACATAGAGTCAATGACAAGAAAAGAATGGTCTTAAATTAGAACGACAACGGTAGCTATTCAGTGTTCTTTAGTTTTTTCAATATGCTTTCACCAACTGATATCGATTCATGACGATAAATTATCTTTCTAAGAAAAGTAAATAAATTTTAACAAACTATTTTATTCGGATAGTTAAAATTATTACATTCAGTAAAATAATTTGCTTACAAACGCCAACCAACACAAAACCTAGTTGAAGTAGTAGTTTCTGCCAACTACCTTCAATCACATAACATCTTAACAATGTACGCAGTGACAAGTCACTTAAACTAGTGAGCAGACTGCAACTTGGTCGAAAAAATCTCATCATCACTAAAGGATCAGAGAGACATGACACTAATCACTTCTACATAACTGTTTATAAGTTTAAATCTATCAACTATTTACCATGGTGAAATATTAAAAAAAACAAGACTTAATCAGTGTCTAATAATTTTGATTATATTTATAGCTATGATGCGTTCTTCAAAGTGAAAATGTAAGCATAAAGACAGACAATAGTCTAATAAAATCGATCGACTGCATTATAATGAAGATGATGAAATTATACGTGGAAATTTTCTGTTAGATAATTTCAGTTGAAATTTGCTCAGGAAGAATTCAAAAATTGTAGCATATAGATTTGAATAAGATAAAGATTTAGGAAGAGAGAGTCGATACATATATATATACAATCGGCTCACAACCGAAACAATCAAATATGGGACAGTGATATGATTAAAATGTCAGATTATTGAAATGGACTAACTCGACAGTTTCATTTAAGGAGTTGTTATAAGTCGAGAGAATCCATATAACTCAACACAACTATTCTGATTTCCACAGATTTATGTCACATATTAAAGCGACAGACATCTTATCTTATTCCCCTAGTCTTAGCGAGAGAGGAGAACATCAATGATGTTGACTAAGTCCCCTGAGTAGATGCGTGAAGCTGGAGTTATCGCAGATGGACTTGAAGTTTTTACAGAGCTTATTAAATTGTTTTTGGCATAGATTACATGTGATTGTTTTTAAGCGTCTAACTTATTATTCAATGCTTACAACCTGAAAAAGCCTTTTCTATATCTTTTGAATCATTTGTTCATGTACATTTTAAACAATTTACGTAGCATAGCACAGGCAATATTGTAGGCACAAATGATAATAGGCTTACTTTTCGACAATTATCGGATCTATTATGATCTATTTGAATCTAAGCTTGAATTTCAGAGGTATAACTCCTAGTAGCACTTGTGAGACGATTTTACCGAAGTCGGTCAGTCAGCTACGACGAAGAGCTTCGTACTTGCATACATCAGTTCAAGTTACCATATCACTTTAGAACAGAGAAGCAGTTGTCAATTCAAATCCCATAGTAGTAGAAGTAGTAGAAGTATTAGCGGAAATCAAAAAGACTAGGGATTGAAGACTTTGAGGAGGAAGTATAATCAAGTGAAATAAATTTAAAAAGAGATAAGAAGAGGTCCTGAGCTTTTAAGGTCATGAAAGAAGACAAAGAATAGATGCACATGCACCACTGCAAACGATTTTAAGCCATGTCATTCAAGGTCTCTAACTATTGGTTACCATTTTCTCACGGATATTTTAGTGCTGACTGAAGACCTAAATGTGTAGGTTTAGTGTCCAGACACAATGAAGCATAATTTAATTGACAGATGCGGGAATTTTTGCGGTTTCGAGTCAGGTAAAGGAGAATATGTTCTGCAGCCCTATACAGAAGAAAAAATTTCCAGATAATATTATCTTTCAATTTTGTCTCAACAACAAACCTACACAACTAGATCATCCAGTACTAAAATATCCGCGAGACGATAGTAATCAGTAATTAGAGACCTTGAACGACATGGCTCAAAACCGTTTGAAATGGCGCAGGTGCATTCATTCTTTGTGTTTTCGGAAATTGTAATCTTCTGAATTCCCCATCAACTTTATCTTTCTCTTGTTAATTTTATTTCATAGATTCTACTTCTTGAATAATATCACCGAACCCTAATCTGTCCGATTACTGCTAATACTTTTACTACCTCTACTTCTATTGGACTTGGATTGACAATTGCGTCTCTGTGCTAATGTGGTATGGCAACTTGAACTGATGCACGTACGTACGAAGTTCTACGCTGTAGCTGACTGACTGATAAATCTTTAGATCCTAAGAATTTACACCTAATGTGATCATGGATGTGCAGTGTAGGAGTGACGTATGCCACGATAAAACGGCTATTGAGTGCTTCTTTATCATCAGTGGTTGTTGGACAAAGGTGATGTAAACTATGAAACTAAACAGTATCCCCACACACCAAACTAAAAAACATATTAATCAATTATTTAAAAGATTTACCGTTTATCTTCCTCTAATTCATTTACTTGTCGACGTAATCGTCTAATTTCTTCAGTACACATAGAATACCGACGTTCTAAGTCAGTTACATACTTCTGACGTTTGGCACGACTAGCTTGGGCAGAAAGTTTATTACGAATTTTTCGTCTGACAGTACGTATTGCTTTTTCGTTAGTTTGACTCAATGGAAATTTGATAGGTAATTGACAACCGATTTTTTGAAGCATTTTACATTCTTCTGCAGTTAATTTAACACATTCTCCCTGTGATTTGAATAAGTAGAGATTAGAATTGTCATAACTATACAATAGGTTAAATCATAACCAATTCGACAACAAAACGAACTGTTCGGGATAAGAATTTGGAACGTTCCTGGTAAGTAGTAGAGCAAACAAGTGAGCAATATCAAAGGTATGAACTATTTTACAAGGACATGAATCTATGCCGAATGATAAAGTTAAGGAATGAGTTGCGCATACACTTCAACAGATTACTCTGATATGTTATATTTGCTGACCAGATAGCATTAGTAGTAAATATAACCTACGGCGAGAAACCGACTTAAAAGTGTGAAAACAGATTCGAAGTAACAGCATAACTAAGATAGAGAAAACATAAAAGAAATGAAAGGTCTACGTGCAAATGGAATCAAAATTGGGACAAGTTTCACAGATTAAAATTGTAAACTGACGAACTGCAACAAGGTTTAGTCAGATAACACTGTAAAAAATTAGGTCGAATTGTATTGTTTTACACAATAAGCGAAAATAAACAGTGAAACACAAGTTGGGTATCCTGAACCACTATGTAGCCTGCGGCGCTATGATAGATGGTGCACAAGTCGGTTGGAACAAAACTAGTAGTGGTCGAAACGAGACATTGTATTGGTCCATTAAATTACTAACTATCGATCTGATCCACGTTACAAGACGAAAATTGCTGGACTAAGGTCATTGTTATAATTGTGATTAGTAACTGGAGACAGGACTTGGAATCGGCCACAGGAACAAAGGTGCATTCATTTACTCCTTTGTTATGGACCTTGAGTCCTAATATTATTCTATACTTTATATTCATGAAATACATTCCTTATATTTAAACCATCTTCTTGATACATTATTAGCAGTGAAGTCCAGGTCGTATGTTTCGTCCTACTTGGGACTCGTCAGCTAGGTGCACTTGCATCTCAGAGGTAATGTTCAATACGGGACCCAAACCCAGTACCTTCTGCTTCGAATGTCATAGCGTTATCCACTTAGCTACTGCGTTCAGAAAATCACTCGCTTTTGCGATGGGATGAAAATAATTTCGTTTCTATTGGTTGTTTGAATAGGGTGAAAACCATATCTTGGATTTCACTGCTAGCTACTTTCCAACTGTGCTAATAATGTTTCTAATATAAAAGGCAACATCGATGCAATCCACATTGGATTCATATATGCCAAAAGAGACTGATCAATTACAGTCGTAAACATCAGTAGGAAGATTCCAATAAACAATACAAGTGAATCATATTCTTAATGTTTAATGTCTTGTTACTGATAATATTATCATTTCGACTCATTCGTTATTTGTTCTATCAATAAAATTTGACTGTATTAATCTCAAGTGCAGTGATGTATGTCTGTGGTGTGAGCTACTTATAAGTAGTATATGACGTGAGTGTCAACGCAATGTCTGGCAGCATAATATGGGGGAAGATCAAGAAAGGAAGAGTTAGAAAACAATGGAATTTGTATGAAACGCATGAATAGTGACAATGGATTGATGTTTGGCAACAGGAACAGTCCAGTTCGATATGATGAACTGATATTTTGCAAATGAACAATTTACGATATGGTTTTCCAATTTTACTGAGTAACTCTGTGATTTCCCTTAAATACAATTCGGTTGCCCCACCTGTGTTCTCTTTCACTACATGTCTATGAACATTTGCGCTTGATTTTGAGTTATATTTAGTTGACTAATTGATTTATTGTACTTTCGTTTATATAGAAATAAAGATTAATTATTGAATTAAAAAAAAGAAATACCTGAACAAACACTCACAGGTTTACCATTCACCAAATCTTCATTATTTAAACATATTAGTTTCGTATTTGTATAAGAATCATTCATATCATCATCATCATCATCATCATCATTTTCAGATGAATCTAAATTATCATTCATTTCCATTGAATTAAACACTTGACCATGATGATGATGATGATAATGATGATTTGTAGAATTTGACAAAGTCAAAACTGGTGATGAATACAAAAGCTTTTGTTGTTGTTGTTGTTGTTGTTGTGTAGTAGTTTTCTTTTTATATAAAGAATTTGATATAGAACTAGAATGACTAATGAGAGATTTGTTTTGATAATTATTAGTGAATTTCACTTTCTCATTTTCAATTTGTTCACATTTTAGAAAATTACTAGGATTAATATCTTCCAAAGATACTAGTTCATTAGAATCAGGCAATAAATCTGTCCAATTAAAATCTGGACTATCTAAATCGTTATTTAATAATTCTAATGGAAGTATATGAGTATCTAATTCAAATGAGAAGAGATCATCAGCTTCTTGATTTAATTCTAGATTATTTTTTACAAATTAAAAAAAAAAAGAAATTGAATTAAAGAAGAAAAAATAATAATTAATACTTGCGTTAATGGTGAGCATGGAAGTAATTGATTTGAATGAAATTAGTATATAGAGGTATGGGTTGATTAGAAATTCCTAAGCCTTGACAGTATTTAAGCACAATTTTCTTTTCTTTTTTTTAGTTATATCGATAGATTCTTCATAAACGGTTAATTCTATGATGTATTGTATGTTGATAATTATTTGAGTAAATTACTGATTAATTTAAAGAATATAGAAAAATGAAAACTTGGATAATAGACACACACACACATGTCATAAATAAAAGATACTTTTAATAAGATATGAAGGCGTGGTTTTCTCTTTGGTTTTTTCTTCATTTTCCTGAAAAAAAACCTTTGAGTTGAAAATTAGGTTTCATAATTTTATTCTACATCGATGAAATTCATATGAAGTACAATTTGGTTTAATGTATTATTCTATTTGATTCGTAATCAATATATAAAAACCATATAAAAACTACAGAGTATATATTCAGATATCGTTTTGATTGATTTTTCAGATATCGAAGAAACTCTCATCTATGATCTTTGTGTTCTTCTTACTTTGACAACTATTATTGTAATGTCATTTTAAGATGATAGTCAACATTAAACACTTAAAATCATTAGTTTATAGAAGCAAAAAAAATTCTAGCCAAGTATCATAAAAATAATTAATTGTTGTGATACTCAGAACAACAAGAAACTGAAATTTGTTTGTTACAAGAAAGATGACAAACACTGGTGGTAGATGAACATTTTATTCATCCTCCAAAAGCAATAATAGTACTCACTCTAACCAGTTACATGCATTTAAATACACAATTTATCAGGATACGATTGTTAGTGAGTGAACACTGTACACAACAGTGATAGTTGAAAATTCAACTGGATTATATACTGGAACTACGTAATCGAATTTAATATACTAAGCAAATGTCACACTGAATTGATATATAAATGACTGCTAAATGCAAAATCACAATGAATATCACACTGAATTAATAATAAATGTCATTTTGAACAAATATCACACAAACATTGCATAGAATTAAAATGTATCTTATCTTAACGAAATGACAGAAAGACAAAATTTGAAAAATTCCTTATTTGTAATCAAGATAAGCAAAATGGATCTTTTTCTAAGGTGGATTTGTACAAAATAAATATACATGTAACTTGAAAGATACTTTTATACAATTTAAACAAAGTTATAGCACAAGTAAGTAGTTTCGGAATCCGTTTTTTTACTATTCAACAACTGAATGAGCACAAGGAACTTGACTATTTCTATTATCATTACATTTCTACTTTAGTTTTATTCTGACAGAACTAGAGAATACCTGACTGAATCATAACTAAACAATAAGCTTTTGTTGGTAGACTATTGGTAACATGAAATACTGAATAAAACTAGAAGAATATGACCGCTTCTTGCACAAGAGTTGGAGACCGGATGTTAATCTCTTTTACAAGCTGTTGTATTAAGAGTAGTTGGAGGCTAGATTTAATACCTATCAGTTTATTGTTTTAATCATATAGATTGAAAGTAGATTATTATAGTAATTTTTAGTTATAGCTCCATCAAAAGTCGACATTTTAACTCTAGCTTATTTGATGAATCTAAATAATGTTGGTTTTTTTCACCTCTTTTGACTTCACTACTTAATATGGTTCATGATTACTGATTAAAGATCTCGCTATTCGGAAATTAAGTTAATGTTCGTCTTATTTATGTTCAAAGCAGACTAGAGTGATTACATGTCATGCTATCTTAATATGAAAATCACTTTCCATTAGATACTTGGTTGATTTTATTTTAAACATACTTTTTAGGTTTTTAAATTCAAATACAGTTTGAATAAATTTGTCTACTGTAACTTTCCTGTATCCAGCAAAGCCCAGATATCTTTTTTTATGAGTGCAAGTTTTGAATCTGAAAGCATACTTTAGAAAAACGATTCTTTCACCAACCCTCTTTAACGATAACTGACAAAGACAAGCTTATCTGAGTTCATTGTTACGCTGATGTTTAAGACAATCAGGTTAGTGTTTTTGTTATGCGTGCAGTTAATATATGTAATAAATAAGTAGTTATCACGGCACATTTGCAGCATTTATTGCTTGAACAATTCAAAATGCAAAACAATACCCCCGCTCGGATTAAGCTGTCTAAAAGAGCATCAATATCAAATACTACAAAAATCACAGTATAAACTGTCAACAAATGGGTTGTTACGTACTGAGATTTGAAGTGGGAATGGCTTTCTCAGTTATCGAATTCCCGCCGAACAGAGGATTGCCAGATGAAAAGCCTGTTTCAATGATTTCTTGGTGATCTAACTGAGATATCGTTGGTGATAAAGCATAATAATCGACGTCATCTCCACATGAGGAAGTTGGTAAATTAGGGTTCTCTACTGACATTACTTTTTGAATTTCGAACATTGTGCGTTAATCAGAGCTAGAGAATGCAATAAAACCACTCTTTGTACTCAATCACATACCATCGATTGTGAGATAAGAAAATTAATTAGTTATGTATGGGACATTCTGTTGTTAAGGATAACAGCTTGGTATTTTGAATTCCATACTTTCCTTTTCCCGTCTAAATAAAACAGCAGTTAATTTCAAGGTCAGGAAAAATGATAAGCTACAATGATAATCAAACGACAGTAAATATCTTTAGAGAATCCAATAATCTGTAATACAGATTTCCTGTCCACGTATTATTGAAAATAATTTGCCTAAATATATTTTGTTGAGTTAAATGAGATTAACTACAGTAAAGACCATTTGTTATATCCAGAAAATAACCTCCCTGTTCATGTAAATAAAGATATCTTCAGATAAATAAATCCCTTTAGAGACAGAAATCTCATTTATCCAAACAGACTAGTCAAATTAAAAGTGAGACTTTTAACGTTAAAAATGTCGGTAAGTTTATTATCGTAAGCAGTCAGTCACACGATTACAACGTAAAACTTCGTACGTGCGTACATCAGTTCAAGTTGCCATACCACATTAGCACAGAGACGCAATTGTCAATCCAAGTCCAATAGAAGTAGAGGTAGTAAAAGTATTAGCAGTAATCGGACAGATTAGGGTTCGGAGATATTATTCAAGAAGTAGCATCTATGAAATAAAATTAACAAGAGAAAGATAAAGTTGATGAGGAACTCTGAAGATTACAATTTCCTACAACACAAAAAGTGAATGCACCTGCGCCATCGCAAACGGTTTTGAGCCATGTCGTTCAAGGTCTCTAATAATCGATCACTATAATCTCGCGGATATTTTAAGACTGGATGATCTAATTGTGTAGGTTTGTTGTTGAGACACAGGTGAAAGATAATATTATATGGAAAGTTTTTGTTCTCTATAGGGCTGCAAGGCTTCGGAGAAACCTATGATCGAAGACCAATAACCTACGAATATATTCTACTCTTGCTGGTCATATTTCGCATCCATATCATAGGAAGAAGCGAACTACTACACAGTACACTCGTCCTTTAGTCAGCAAACGGATATGATATCTCGCCTACGCCATAAGTAACGCGAGATGGCAAAAGCCAATCGAGCCTTCTGTATCCGTGCTGAGATTTCGTCAGTCAACAGGCCATCAGCACTGATGAGACTCCCAAGATAAGTGAAGCGGTTAACATGCTCAACTGCCTCACTCCTTATCACTAGTTCAGGTGACGATACAAGCCAATTCTGAAGCGACAATTCGCAGTTCGAGCGGGAGAACCACATTCCTAACATGCTTTTATTGTTGCTTAGGGTAGTCAGAAGACTGCATCTTATCAGCGTGTTAGTGGCACATAAATGGAATTAAAGCATAAGTACGTTGCTGCGCGCTGATTGGCTAATTTCCTATCCAATCAGCGCCTGATCGATTCTCGGAGAGCAGGGTAGAAAATTCTCGTATTGTTAGCTGCACGCTGATTGGCTAAATCTAATCCAGTCGATCACGTGAATTACTATCCAGAAGCTTCTCATGTAAATGCTATAAAAAAACTAACGTTGTATCTATTTTGCCTTCGCCTTCGCCATCACCTTTGGCTTCTTATTTCCATTTAACCTTGCTATTTGGAATATAATCTTTTCCTGTTCAACCGTGTTTTTGATTCTTAGGAACTTGTCCAGTGTATTATGGTCGAGAACACTAAGCAATAGGAATTAGCTGGGAATTATTCAGCAAGCCTTACAATACAGCGTCTTCACCAAGTAGAACTATGTCATCGGCATATTCTAAGTCAACCAATGAACCTCCTGGTAGAAGATCTACTCCTGAAAATTCAGACGAAGATAATATTATATCTAGAAACATGTCTATGACAAAATTAAACAAGAATAGAGAAAGTGGACAACCCTGACGAACGCTACTCGAAGTAAACAATTCCGATGACAGTTCGCCATAAGCTCTTACTCTACCTTTAGTGTTCGAGTAGAGAGCCTGTATAAAAGTATCGACTTCCTTAGTATATCTTTTGCTGACAGACACTGCCACAGAAGCTCATGATCTACAGGGTCGAATGCCGCCTGAAGGTCTAGGAAGACAACTATTGTCGGACGCCTAAATGTGTTTCTGTGTTCCAGGACCTGTCGTAGTGTGAAAATGTGGTCTATACAGCCACGTCCAGGTCTGAAAACAGCCTTGTTTAATTTTGTCATAGACATGTTTCTAGATATAATATTATCTTCGTCTGAATTTTCAGGAGTAGATCTTCTACCAGGAGGTTCATTGGTTGACTTAGAATATGCCGATGACATAGTTCTACTTGGTGAAGACGCTGTATTGTAAGGCTTGCTGAATAATTCCCAGCTAATTCCTATTGCTTAGTGTTCTCGACCATAATACACTGGACAAGTTCCTAAGAATCAAAAACACGGTTGAACAGGAAAAGATTATATTCCAAATAGCAAGGTTAAATGGAAATAAGAAGCCAAAGGTGATGGCGAAGGCGAAGGCAAAATAGATACAACGTTAGTTTTTTTATAGCATTTACATGAGAAGCTTCTGGATAGTAATTCACGTGATCGACTGGATTAGATTTAGCCAATCAGCGTGCAGCTAACAATACGAGAATTTTCTATCCTGTTCTCCAAGATTCGATCAGGCGCTGATTGGATAGGAAATTAGCCAATCAGCGCGCAGCAACGTAGTTATGCTTTAATTCCATTTATGTGCCACTAACACGCTGATAAGATGCAGTCTTCTGACTACCCTAAGCAACAATAAAAGCATGTTAGGAATGTGGTTCTCCCGCTCGAACTGCGAATTGTCGCTTCAGAATTGGCTTGTATCGTCACCTGAACTAGTGATAAGGAGTGAGGCAGTTGAGCATGTTAACCGCTTCACTTATCTTGGGAGTCTCATCAGTGCTGATGGCCTGGTGACTGACGAAATCTCAGCACGGATACAGAAGGCTCGATTGGCTTTTGCCATCTCGCGTTACTTATGGCGTAGGCGAGATATCATATCCGTTTGCTGACTAAAGGACGAGTGTACTGTGTAGTAGTTCGCTTCTTCCTATGATATGGATGCGAAATATGACCAGCAAGAGTAGAATATATTCGTAGGTTATTGGTCTTCGATCATAGGTGTCTCCAAAGCATTGTTCGTGTATCGTGAAGTAACCGAATAAGCAATGCTGTCGTTAGGAAACCGGTGCTAGTTAAAGATGGCAGATCAATAGATGAAGTATTGAAACCTCATCGTTTGAGGTGGTTGGGATATGTGTTGCGTATGCCCAACCTTCAACTGCCTCGTCGAGCGATGTCCAGTGATTTGGGAATAGTTTGGAAGGAAGCCACGGGCGACCAAACCAAAACATGGCAATATCCATGAAGTCACTGACAAGCGGACGGAGTCACGTTTGTAGATGTAGACTATCTGGTTGGGGTCCGCGAGATGATAGTATCCGGTGGTTAGAGGCCTTGAACGACATGGCTCAAAACTGTTTGCATCCACTCTTTGTGTCATTTTAAAATCCTGATCTCCAGAATTCCTCATCACCTCTATCTACTTCTAAAGTTATTTTCTTGAATACTATGTTCGAACCCTAATATCTCCGATTACTAGTGATACTTTTACTACCTCTACTTCTATGGGATTTGAACTGACAATCTGGTCTCTATGCTAATGTGGTATGGCAACCTGAACTTATGTGCATATGTACGAAGTTCTACATTGTAACTGACTAACTGTCTGATTGAAGCTAGGTTGCAATAGGTCGTCGAATTTTTCAAGAACATTTTGAAATGGATGTAAGAGGTTAAAAGATTTACTGGCGGGAGAGGTAGTCATAGCTACCCGATCACCCAAAATAGAGAGAAATGATCGATTTTCCAGAAAGCCGTTCACAAATTCATAGTTATACACAAACGATGGGAATTTTTTGAAGAAATTCGTGAAGCAGTTTTAAAGCAACTTTCTTTTGCTATCTTATATCCAATATCTCTCCCATGATCTATTAATGACAAAATGAATTACTACGACTGACTCGCGTTCTCTCGGTACGGTTTTTGGGTATTTTTTTAGTGTCTAACGGATGGTAGTCCAGCTATTTGACAGTAGTGTTTCCAGCCGACTGACAGTTTTGCATCACGTAACCAGAAAGGGAGAATAGTGGGGATAAAATTCTAATGCTATCGAGAAGAATATATTTCAGAACTAACAGAATCAATAAATAAGTTAACTAATGGGTCGTGAAGATTGAGAGACAAGACAGTGTGAACAAGTGGAAAACAGAAAACAAAAACCAGATGGAAAGAGTTAGTGATTTGAGGAAGTGGCAATAATAACAACAACCACGTTTCGAGACATGCCTCAGGCAGAGCTGCTACAAGTGGGTATTTCGGGCTAAAAACCAAAATTTATCTGTTGAGTATTTTATCGACATTAGATTCAATTGAGAAAAAAGATTCATTAAATACACAAAATAAATAACTATCATATATGTTCGACCGATTCGTATTTCTCAATGAAAATTACCACACTTTTATTGGTCCACGTAACAGTTATCCGTTGAGTGCGCGTCATGAGGTCGTCTCAAGGGCGTGACTATAGTGATATTTTTAACAGTTGCAGATTAACTCCATCATCTAAAAATAACATCGAGATATGAATAGATAAATCGAATGAAATACAATGACATACTGCAGTGACAGGTCAGAAACTAACTGTCTACACTTCTTGTCGTAGTATGGATGTCGATATAACCACTATTCATAAATCAAGTGTCACTTTCAGTAAGCCTTTCACAAAATAGTGTATACGTCACTTGGAATGAGTAGTAAATCTTACTCTGCAGCCTGGATAGTTAATGGATATGCGATAGTGATACGATAAATTTGTACCGTGCTTCGTTATGAAGCTAAAAACACAAGACAATATCTGACAAATTAACAAGTATGCAAACGGGTAAGAGGATATAGCTGTA